TTGGAGGAACCCATCTACCTTTTTGGCCAGTTTTTTAAGAAGCCCCTTGAATGCTTGACTCTTGGTAAGTTTTTCTTTGCTTTAACTTCAAATATAGTATTCCTGGAATTTGCACATATCCATTGGTGGGACTAATTCAAGAATAAGTCACCAATTATGGAGTTACTTTTTAGCCCCCAAGGGCTTTGTTCAAGTGACAAAGGTTGTGGGACTGGTGACTTTGGTCACCTGTTTGAGCCTGCAGCATGCGAGCAAAGGCTGTTATTTAAGTGAAGAATGGTAAAGGGGAAGGGCAATTTCCCCAAGTTTTGAACACTGCAGTTGGTCCTAAGTGTTGGCCCCAAACAGATTCTTCAGTCATCAAAAACATTTAAGGAGTCATCTTTCATGCTGATGCGTGCAGTGTGCAACGTGCTTGAATATCTTACTGTTGAATCTTGATTTATGCCATCATTATTCATTACAGCCTACTATTTGCCCCAGAATGCTGGTAGCATCGCTCGGAAGTATATAAAAGATTCCGGGTTGCTGTCCTTTATAGATGCAGAGGTGAGGCGAATAATCTGTGTTACTTATTATCAGCTCTGATGATTTCTTTACTTTTTGAAGAATTCAACTCTATTTTCTCTTTTGCAGTGCTTTATTGTGAGTACAGTTAATGCATTACAAACACCAATGATCAATGCAAGCATGGTAATTCTGCGTATTAACCTTGGCAGTGTTGTGTTTCTTGATATCCAGTTCCACTTCCTACTCAGTTTTATTTCTGCAGGTTCTATGTGACAGACATTTTGGTGGAATCAACTACCCAGTTGGTGGAGTTGGCGAGATCGCCAAATCCTTAGCAAAAGGATTGGATGATCACGGAAGTCAGATACTTTATAGGGCAAATGTCACAAGTATCATTTTGGACAATGGCAAAGCTGTGAGTCTTCTGTTGTAAAACTATTTTAAAACTTTTATTATGAGTGATTATTCCCATTATGAAATGCAAAAGCCATAGTCTGGTGTTCGTGTTGAATTATTGTAGCCGACACTCTTTAGGCATTCAAGGACTCATGCTTCACACACTCTTAACTGTGGTCAAATCTTCTTCCCATGTGGTATGTCTTTGGTGTTCCTAAATGCATGTCATTTTAAAATGTAAGGTAACATTAGCATGTTAGCGTGTTAAGACATTTTTAAAAAAATTGGATAGTAAGTATATAGAAAAAGAAGAATAGAATGAGGGCAACAAAGAGGGAAGATCAAATGTCTTTTCTTAAAATGTCGTGCTTTGCTATAGCTGATTGTAATGATATACAGTGTGATATTTTACTTATCACAACATTGTGTAGGTCCTATATCCCCTTTAATTGTATTTCAGTTACTCCCCTGAAGTTTATTCTACTGATGTCTCTACACTTTTACTGTACATAAGTGACTAATGGTTTCTTGTGTTGCATCTTCGATGGTGTCTTTGCCAGTATGTGTGCAAGGCCATTTTCTCTAACTCTCTTTTTCTTTAGATGGGAGTAAAGCTTTCTGACGGAAGGAAGTTTTATGCTAAAACTGTAGTATCGAATGCCACCAGATGGGATACTTTTGGTTAGTTTTCAAGGAATCCAGCATAATTTATATGTTTCCTTGAGATTCTTTCGTCTTAGGGCCAGTACTGCGGTTTTCTTGCACGTATTTGTTTCTCTTCAAATCTCTTCATCTCATGTCAAGTGTCTTACCTTGTAGGAAAGCTTTTAAAAGCTGAGAATCTACCAAAAGAAGAAGAAAATTTCCAGAAAGCTTATGTAAAAGCACCTTCGTTTCTTTCTATTCACATGGGGGTTAAAGCAGATGTACTCCCACCAGACACTGATTGCCACCATTTTGTCCTCGAGGTACTATGCACTTCAATTGATTTGCTATTTATTTTTTCATCCTTATGTTCCCCTTCATGATTCCTTTATTTTACAGGATGATTGGACAAATTTGGAGAAACCATATGGAAGTATATTCTTGAGCATTCCAACAGTTCTTGATTCCTCATTAGCCCCAGAAGGACACCATATTCTTCACATTTTTACAACGTCGAGCATTGAAGATTGGGAGGTACAATCAGTTCACTCCCTGAGTGTTGGTAGTAACCTCTTCTACATCTATGTCCCTTTTTCCTTTTTATGGAAATTAAAGTATGGCCCTTTATCCTTACTAGGGACTCTCTCGGAAAGACTATGAAGCGAAGAAAGAGCTTGTTGCTGAAAGGATTATAAGCAGACTTGAAAAAAACACTCTTCCCAGGGCTTAAGTCATCTATTCTCTTTAAGGAGGTTAAACTCATGATTTTATGAACTCAATAGTTGTTCATAGTGAGCAATATTATCTTTCTTCAGTAGCAAATCCACATGCTCTTATGCTCGCTGAAATAGTTTTGGCCGTGGAGTTTTACCATCTATGTTTACAATTGAATTCTTGTAGGTGGGAACACCAAAGACCCACAGACGATACCTTGCTCGTGATAGTGGTACTTATGGACCAATGCCACGCGGAACACCTAAGGGACTACTGGGAATGCCTTTCAATACCACTGTAAGTTAATCATCCTTTCAGTATGTAGTTGCTTTATTGTTCTGCTGGTAAATAAAAGCAAACAGAATAAACTGTTCTGTAATGTTTCTGAGCTTACAGGCTATAGATGGTCTATATTGCGTTGGCGATAGTTGCTTCCCAGGACAAGGTGTTATAGCTGTAGCCTTTTCAGGAGTAATGTGCGCTCATCGTGTTGCAGCTGACTTAGGTAAACATGATAGTCCAAATAGTTCATTTTCTGAGCTTGAAAGTCCTTTTGTGCAATATCTATTTACACATCATTAGCTCAACCAAATATTTACAATGTGGCGTTCAAAAGTGAAAATGAATGAGTTATTACAACGTCGAGCATCAATAGCCCCTTAAATTTGCTAGTAAATTTCATTTAGACACTCGAACTATAACATGTTACAATTGAGCACGTGAACACATGATAAAGCGCCTATTATATAAGATAAGTTAACCACACAAAATATGTCACCTCCTCCTTCAACTATACACATCAGCTTTAATTGGAACAAGGGAGAGGTTTTACGGCTTATTTAGGGGTTGTCGATGTGTTCCTTCTTAATTTAAAGTCCATATAAGTAACTGTCTGTTTGGTTTGATATCTTCTCTTTTTTCTGTCACAGGGTTTGAAAAAAAATCAGATGTGCTGGACAGTGCTCTTCTTAGGCTACTTGGTTGGTTAAGGACACTAGCATGATATCTACTTGTTAAGCTAAAAAGAAACATTTGACACCAAAAAAAAAGTTCATTATGCATTTTCTTTTATTTACTTTTTTTTTTATATCAATAAACTGGAAAATGAGGCTCCAATTGAGGTTCCTCCAGTATAGAAATCTCACATTTTAATTTTGCAAATCTGCTAATTGTCTTCCTTTTCTTTTCTGCAACTTTCTGTCAAAGTAAGTCAATCTGTTATGCTCAAGGATTTATCATGAATTTGATCTCCACCTTTGCATTTAGGGATGTGTTTATTTTACACATAATTCATCCCTCTTTATGCTCATTAAACAATAGATATTGACTTTACTTGTATTCTTAGTGGAAATATCATACATATGTATACAAATTTAGGTGTTCAATAATCAAAAGGAAGATATTGAAACTTTAACTGCCAAACTGAGTGTTTTACATATATATATATATATATATAAGTATAGATTGTTTTGTGCAGTGCTTAAAATTCAATGTTAAGCTGAAAAAGAAACATTTCTTAGCTAAGTTCTCTTGTTCACAAATAGATTCATAAATTTTAACCAAACAGAGGTGAATTCATAGACATGTATATTATACCTGTTTTGCAAACATCAGAAAAATGTTCCCTAGCTTATCAAGAATAGCATCAGAAGGTGCAAACAATAAAAACACAGGAATTTATCATTTTTATTCTCAATCCTCATGAACAGTGGTGAGGTCAGGATTTTCACTAATGAGGTTCAAAATATAAAGAAGTAAAAACACATGAAGAAGTTAAAAGGGAGATTCAACATCTACTATGTATACATAAAAGAAACTGAACCTTGTTTATACCGTGTAATTTCCATTCATCTGGTAACAATCAGATCCATAGTTATGAAACAAAAAGAAAATTCCCAGGTATATGTTGTATGTTACATTGATGCAGAAAATCACTTGTGAAAACATAGCTACTCTAGTCCCCTACATAGGCTGGAGCAATAACAATACACCCTTCAGCACAGTTGCAACTATTATGGTTCATTAATATCAAAAAGTTATCTTCCCAAAGGAGAACTAAATCACCATGTCAGCAAGTTATAGCAATCAAGTCTAAAAATCTCAAGAAGATCCCTAAAAATGAGGTACTCACAAGAAATGGTGAGACAATTAACTAACAAACTCTGGATTATCCTGCAGGAGCAACTTCAATACAAACCATTCAGGCTACTGGTTCAATGGAACACAGCCTAGACGAACATCGGTTTCCTCAACAGAAAGAAATAGGCAAATAAATAGAAGAAACAATATTTGCCTTTCCTCTCTGATGCCTGACTAATTTTTACAGCATAACACAATCTGATTTTTTGTTCAAATACTTGTTTAGATGTAATAACAATGCCTGACTAATCTTTACAGCATACTTGAGAAATTCCTAAACGAGAAAGTGGTATGTATGGTTGGTGTATGCCTAGAAACTAGTCCAGAATCATATCATCAACTGCACCATTGACCATGAGTAAGCATTTTTGGCAGAGCAAGAGAAGAGTCCTCCTCCTTTAAGTGCGAGTGCGATAATTCCTAGGTTCCTAAACTTGTAATGGATGGCGGAGCGTAGATGGAAAGCAGTTACGTGGATACGGTGCTTTATCCGTAGACGCTTCTCCTGCTCTCGCAAGAATTGTATCAAAGTCTCCCTCGGGATGGACTTCCCGAGTGACCGTACCGAGGAGTTCTATCGTACTCCGTGCAGCTATGGTTGTTGATCCTGCAAAGTAAATGCAATCCAAGTTTCTGTTTCATGTACTAAGGTGGATGATAATACACAAGTAGTATATGTTTTATCACTAGCATCAAGTTTGCCAAGCTTTAAGGCCTATTGAATTCCAATTTTTACAACACACTTTTGCTTCCTTTGTCACCAAAGCCAGTGTCTTGCATCATCGCTACAAATTCACTGTAATCGATGCGTCCATCCTGAAAAAGAAAAATAAGTAAGAACAAATTGATATGAGCTTTCTTCTTACCTAATCCATGAACGTTATGATCTTATCATGTTCCTGTGTTTAACCATGCACATTATACATCTGCAAGAAATGAGAAATAGAACTCTGAAGATGAGAATAATAGGGTTTACATTATCTTGATCAACTTCGCGCATAAGCTCTTCGATGGGAATATTGCTTAAACCAAACTTATCACAAGCCTTTTGGAGCTCATCCTGCGTGATATATCCACTACCATCTTCATCAAAATATGAAAAAGCGGCATACATGTGATCTTCCTTCTGAATTTTGTTTAGATGGAGCATAGCAGCTATAAACTCGCCATAATCAATGGTACCACTATTATCAACATCTGCCTGAATTTTCCACACAGAACGGTTCTTTCTTGTAAGGATCATTTTGGACAAATTTATTGTTAAGAATATATGAATGGAAACAAAATCAAGCAGTCGCAGAAGTATTCAACAGTTTAATTACATTGAGGAAAATGATCATGTGCTCTCCAGTACGTTGTCAATGCAAATCTTAGCTATGCAAGATTACTATTTTTTAGGTTCAAATTACTTATGTCCTATAATTACATTCTTGCTTAAAAGCCGTCCATTTATGAGATCTTATTACAAAAGAGTAAGTGCTATAGATTCCTTCACAAGGTAGGTGTAAGGTTGTGTATACACTACCTCTCAGACCTCACTTGTGGGACTACACAGTTATGTTGTTGTAATTGTTGTTGTAGTACGTGCTATAGACTCAGAGTTGATAATTATTATTTTGACAATTCACAAAGGAATGTAAGTCAAGAGATGTCTGTAGCTGTAGTCCCAATTCCCTTTCAAATCTACGTTTAACTGATCTAGGTCAAATCCAAAATATATCAACTTTGAATCAAAGAAGAAGCAGTCCTACTCCTCCCTTGACCCTTTTGGACAAACCATCACCAGCATCCCAGTGTATACAACCCAACTATTCCACTCTTTTGGGTGTTGAGTTGAATTTAGAAGTAAATGATTTCGACTTCACCTATATACCTTTAGTCAATAATACTTCTAAAGGATACAGGTGATACAATTTAATAATCTACGCGTCCAATAAGAGAAGACTGGTGTGACATATAAAGCCGATCATTGTTCTAAATGCTATTTAAAGCTGTATATAATGTGCGTAAAAATGCTCTTGAACATAACATACAGATACTTACCGCTTGCATTAAACTAACTATTTCTGAATCGTTCAGATTGGCACCCACTCTTTCCAAACCCGTTTTCAGTTCTTCTAGCGTAATGTGTCCACTATTATCTGCGTCTATCATTTTGAACATTTCCTTCAGTCCTGCAATTTCCTCTCCAGACAGACTTTCAGCAATTACCTAAAATGCAAATAGGAACTGCTCAGGCATAACAATTAAAAACCAGTATTACTTGATACTGCAATATGTTTGATATCCTTCTCCTGTTCCTGATTTAAAATTAGGGAGAAATGTATATAAGTCTGGAACAGCTGTGTATAAATAGGAAATAACCACATATCTTCCACTTACGAAATAAAATGGAAAAACTATTAGATGATAGCCATGGTTTTTTCTTTGTTGAAAGGATTCTCATACGTTTTCTTATGCAGAAATTCAATGAATGCCATGACTTGGGTAAACTCAGTGACCATAGATCTGAAAAGTTAGAATAACTTACTCTGATTGCTATCTTCTTTAATTTATTCATTGCAGAAAACTGATTGAGGCGACTTAGAACAGCACAATCAAGAGGCTTATCTGGAGCAACCCCACCAACACGAACCCATGGATGACCTGAAATAGACAATAAACATACTTGTCATTCAAGTAAAAAATATTTTACTGTACTTTCTTAAGCAAATATACAGACAGACATGATAGTGCCCTTCATACCAAATATAAAGTCAAGAACTTCAGGTTTAACCAATTTACAACTGCTTCTTCCATTAGCTCTCCCATACACATTCTCTCTGTTAATCTATCTCTAAAAGAAGCTCAAATAGAAGCCAGAAATCATTCACTTTGTATACCCTTTTTAACATATGTACCCAAAAAAGTTAAGAAGATATTTTCTTAGGAATATAAGTCCTCTAATTACATATGTCTCAAATCTCAACCAGTCAACAATTTGGCTGAACTCCAAATTTATAAACACTAAGCTGCACAAGACCTTGGTTTGAGATACCACTGGTTTAATTTTTTCGGAAAAAAAAACCTTTAAATTATCTGCTTTCAAGAGTCCGAAGAAAAAAATTGATGTTTACATATCCTTTCTTACATGTAGCATGCACATGAAATGATGTATAGGCGAAAATGAAAGAACTTAAATACGTCTGGTTCGTTAATATAGCATCAGGAAAAGCAAGTAATGCCACTGACTGCAACCAATTCCAAGATCTAAACCTTTTGGGCATCTCCAGTTACTGTCATTAAAAGTAAGTGTTGTTCCATCTTACTTCAAATGACATGGGTGATAATAGTAAAACAGGACTTTTACAACAACAGGAATAAGGATATTTTTTTAACAAAAGGACCAAAAGAACTTTAAGTAAGTTCTATAATAATAACGACTTTAGATGCATATGAAGACAGTTGAAAATCTATTTAAGAATTAAGTGATTCATCGGACAAGGAGAAAGGACAAGCAGTATCATCAAATACTGAAAACATACACAACATTGAGAAGAGCATAAAAGATCAGACTGGTGAATACTGCATCTTACAAAGAACTTCATGAGCTGTCAACCGCTTTTTGGGATCTCTCACCAGCATTTTTCTGACTAAATCTTTTGCACTTTCTGATATAGCAGGCCAGGGTTCTGATGCAAAGTCAAGTTCCCCTGTTAAAACTTGTTCAAATATTCCTTGCTCCGTCTCTGATTCAAAAACATCAAAAGTCATAGGCAAAGTAGTCTTCATCTTTGCTTCAAGGTCTATAGGATCAAATCACAATGGAAGAAAGTAAAAAAGAACTTTACCATCCCAAAATGGGGGAACGCCGCTAAGCAGTATATAAATAATGACTCCAGCACTCCAAATATCACATTCTAGACCATAATGCTTCCGCAACACTTCTGGGGCCACATAGTAAGGGCTTCCAACAACATCATTGAAGATTTCACCTGGGTGTACCAGATTTGTATTCTTGATAAGGTGAAAGAAATAGAAGTAAAGCATCCATGGAAAAAGATGAATTGGAAATAATAATTATAGCCTATTGTTATGAATCACCAGTGAGGTCCAGATAAATGACAGACTAGAGGTTGGTGCTAATTCCAGTATTATGGAAATTGTGTTTTCAAGAGAATACCTGGCTTGAAGAACACTGATAATCCGAAGTCAATCGCCTTCAGAGTTGATTCCTCTTCCTGATCAGCAAATAGAAAGTTTTCGGGTTTCAGGTCCCTATGCATAACACCCAAGGAATGACATGCTTCTACAACACCTACTATTACTCTTGCAAGTTCAGCTGCCTTCTTCTCTGAATAATGCCCTCTTTGTAAAATCCTATCGAAAAGCTCCCCACCTGCACAAAGCTCCATTACAACATGAACTGCAACAGCATCCTCGTACGCCCCCACAATCTGTACCACACTTGGTTGTCCTGCCAAATGATGCATTATCTGAATCTCCCTTCTCACATCCTCTACATCCTCCTCAGTTGTCAACCTCCTTTTCGCAATGGACTTACACGCATACTGCTTCCCACATGACTTCCCTAAACATAAAAACGTCGTCCCAAACTGCCCTTGTCCTAACTTCCTCCCTAAACTATAAATCTCCTTCAAATTACCCGTTTTTCGTCCTAAAACAGATTCAATCTGAACCCCAATACTCGACGTTCTCCTAACATGAGTAGGCTTGTTCTGTTTCACCCCTTCCACAGGGGGCTTATCAGTAACAGTAACATCATTAGCAATCACTACATCATTATTCTCTTTAACACCCATTTGAGTATCAGCATTTATCATAAGATGTGGAGGTGGATTACCTTGAATACCAGATCTATCCACCGCGCCTTTCGATGAATCAACCGAATTCTCTGAATTAGGTTCCCCTTCATTTGGGAGTGGTAAATTCTCCGACTGATTAGGTTTCCACACAGCTGCAGTAACAGATTGTAAGAACCCATTGTTAGCCAATTTAGGTCCAACACAATTATTCCCCATTAGCTCAACTCAAACTCAACAATCAAAATCTCAACCTTTTTCGATTTCCAATACCATTATACTATAAATTCAATAGAACCCTAAATTTTTAACCCCAAATTGCTAAATACTCCACCAATCACTCGATTAAACCAAAAAAAAACATATCAAAATCTGAAATTTCGGCCTAAATTCAAGAATCGAACAAAATATGTTAGAATTAAAAAAAAATTGGGAGAAATTGTTGAGGAAATAGAAAAATATGGATGGATCGGTTAGAGAAATCGAAATGATATTTTGATCAATCCGTCAGAAGTTTTCTTTCATGCATGCATGTTTTATTATCGCTTACGTAAATACTTTGTATGTGAACGAGGGCGGAGCTACAATATTAGATATCATATGCCGAGCCAAATGGGATCATCTAAATTTCTTCCGTAGGCCTTTTATTAGGTATTGTGGGACGAGCCAAGTGGAATCATATGAATTTCTTCGATAGACCTTTTATTTGTATTAAGAAAGCCATTAAATATAACATGAATCTTGTATTGCGAATCTAACAACTAAAATGAGCTACATAAGTTTATGAGTTCTAGATCATAATTATTTTTCTATATTGATATTAAATAATTTTTTAATACAAATACAAATTTTGCCTCAAAGTTAATGACTTTGTCGTGATGACGAGTTTAAAACCGTAAACTTCAAATTTTTGCTTCGCCTTATGTATGTTAATGCTAGAACTATATTTATAGTTAAAATACATGTTTATATTAGGCTAACAGTAGAATAAACAGAAAAAGTTATCAGAAGTATAGGGATATTTTTGACCTTTTTCATATAAAAAACTATGCACATTGAAATGTTAAAAAACAAAGAGTCTTATCATTCTTTACTCAGACGTAGGGACAATATCTTAATCAACGTCTTAATCTTAATGAAAACAAATGGTATATTGAGTCTCCCCTGCATACAAGATCAATGAATAAAATGTCAATAACTACCTTAATAATCCCTCTTGTCAAGAAAACAAAATTTTAGTTTCATTCTTGCAGCTTCATCTGTTTGTTCAGAAGATTGGTAAAAGTCCAGCGCCTCGGGACTAACTGGTGAAGGTTTCATCACTGGCCTTTCATCAAAAAGAAAATCTGAAAGCGCCTGCATTTGAATCAGTGACTGAATCCCAGAAGGAAGGTTTGTTCTGCTGCGCCTTTTTCTCCTCGGCTTTCAGAGTCAACTCATCAATAGTACCAGGAAGATGTGCTTCAATGGCATTCTTAAATTTGTCGTGCAAATTGACTCTGTCGTTTGTTCCAGACACAAGAGTGCAAGCATTTGGCTTTTTTAGAAACTCCAAAACATTCACTAAATTCCTCCTGCAGGCGAAATGACAGTTGAAAAATACAACAAAAAATAGATATTGAACCGAGGGAATTCTGAAACAGTTATCCTCTCCAAACTCACTGGAGATCCTAAATGGACACACCGGGAAGGCGATCCTAAACAGACACACAAGGGGATGAAGAGAGTTGTCTCAGAAAATATCGGTGGTGATCCTAAACAGACACAAGTGCAGGGCTCAGAGTATTGTCTAGGAAAGTTTTCTTTTTTAGATGAAGCAGTTGCAATAAAAAAAAAGGCATCAAGAAGATGCAAATGAAAGTATAGCTACAAAAGAGATCACGTTACATGTCTAGGTAAGATATCGTCTTATCCATAGCACAAGAAAAACAGCATAACTAAGGCTGCAAAACGATGATACAACTTTCTCTCCCAGATAGGCGTCAACATCAGAACTCTCTCACTATGAAGTAGCAAAATTCAGTTAAGCATGATTATGCATATCGAGAACAAATCTTCAAGTAATAAGGTTATCGTGGTTTGACTAAATTAATCCTGACTAGGATATGTAAGGATTAGAAGAAAGGGGAGAAAGAATAGAACACTAAAGATGTATCTTTTCTTAAAAAGAAGCCCACAACAAAGTACAAACATTCAATCCCATACTACAAAAATGAGTCACCATAGTTCATTAACTAACTAAAGTTTGTTTAGGTTTTTTATCAGTAAAAACATGTCAAGCTTTAAGGTGGTCTATCTAAAACTATCATATGAGAGGAAAGGATTACAGTGATAAAAGACCTAAACGCACAAACTTTCGTGCGTTGATGAGCTCCTTTTTCTAGTTAATGAGCTTAACCGAGAGTATATGTGATATTGAATTACAGCTACTAAACCAATAGTGAACTTTTGCATTTACCTATGGTGTCCACCTCCTTATAAAACAGAACCATTACATGCTATTAAGGAAACTAGTACATATAATTTGTCAGCAAGCATGAAAACAATATCAAATTTTATCCAAGTGACAGAAATATAGGAGACAAAAGTAGATACCTGCTAACAAAGTTCTGGGTAATGGCAATTGAATCCTCTAAATTGATGACCAAATGCCACCATCCATTAGGTACAAAGATAACTTCACCCGCCTTGCAGACACATTCAATAGGTCTCTTTTTCCAATTCTTGGTTGCGTTGTAAAAGTTCATGAACCATTCTATGATTGAAACAGGACTTGCTACTTCTGCACCATCAGGACTTGGATGAACCCCTGGTGGCACCACATCAGGGGGAAATAATATCCATTTCTTGGATCCTTTGATTATTGCATTCCAAGCGGAGGTAGAATTTGGATCAATGTGGAATGACGAGCCAGACCCTGCAGGTCCAATTATAATCCATCTATAATCTGGCCTCTCATTACCCAAAACACTAAACAAATCCTCATTGAAGTACATCGGGACATCATAATCCTTTCCTAATTGAGGGATTTTCTCCGCAAACTTTGGGTCAAACAAATACAAGGGCCTTTCTTCCCTCACTTGATCAGAGTACTTAAAGTAGTCTTCAAGCTTCATTTCCACTGGCCCGACTGAAAATTTCACATCCCCACATTTCTCAACAAGATAATCCCTATTCCATTTCTCCAATCCAGGCCAATTCTCCAAACACCCTTCTAACAAAACCGGCTTATTCGGTTCCTCAAAATCCATCACAAACTCATCAAGAGAAATTCCTTTCCTCCTCACTATATTATCCCTCTCTAGCCATTCAGGTTTCATTTCAAGATTAGCACATAACCAACTCTGAAACAAGTAATCAGAATAAAAGTCTCTAACTTTCAAACCAAAACTCAAAACTGGAAATGAAGGCCTATATGCACTAACAAAAGTAGACCTCCAACACCCCTTAAACAAGAACCCACCTTTACAAGTCTCCAATACAAGATTCCTCCAAAGGGGTTCATGATTACAGAAAATATAGAAACCTTTGCTAACAGTTGACAAAATACCCAAATGGGTACCTTCCAAAAGACCTAAAATATCAAGAACAAGCTCATCAGTTAAAGTCTGAAGATTACCTAGACCAGTATTTCTTGAATTATGAGATGATGGGTTGAAATAAAGATTCCCAAGTGGCTGAACTCCATAGGAATCTGATTGTGCTGAAGATTTCAAGCTGAAACCTTCGTCTTCTTCTTCTTCTTCTTCTTCTTCTTCTGGTGCTATTTGGTATGGTTCCGCTACCGTTTCTTCTTTTGCAGAAACAGAAATTCTCTTTGATTTCTTAATCTTACCATTTTTTCTCTTTCGTTTTTGCTGCTTGAATAACAAGCTCTTGGAACCCAGCATTGTTGAAGTTGAGAAGTATAGTTTGAGCCGCCAAGGCCTTGAGGTTTTTCACTGAGAGTAGTATTTGCAGTTCTGCAAAAACAAAGGGGGCTTTACCCCTGGTTTAGAACGTACAACGCTTCGATGCTGCCAAACCTGATCTATTTATAGTGTGTGTGTTTTGCCCTTTTCTTATGTTTATTTATAGGCATACGAAATAAAAAAGACCCTCAAACTTAACTTCAATTCGCAATTAATTACTTCAACATTGAGATTACACTTCTAGACATCTTAATTTGATTTCGATTGACAATTAAATCCTCCAACGCGTCACCAATATCTCATGAACTCTCAATACTAACAATAACACTATAATCAGTAAAATCTCACAAGTGAGGTGTGAGGAAAGTAGAATGTAAGCAGATTTTACCACTGTCTCGTGAAGATATAAAGAGGTTGTTTTTTTCAAAACTCTCGACTCAAGTGCAACAAATCCCAATACGAACTCCCGAGTCCCAATGCTATCATAACACATAAATTTTGGAGGTGTGACACAATAGATACAAGTTAAAGTGATGGCTAAGACTAAGTTTGAGTGATTGTTCATCATATTTGAATGTTTACGTGCTTATTAACGCCAAAGTTGGAGTGAATAGCTCTAGCAGGAGCAATTCATTAACACGTCGTCGTAGACGAATAAGAAAGAAGTTGTTAGACAACGAATACAAAAGTGCAATAAGCACTAACATCTGATTGACAAAAAGAGAAAAAGTAACAAGAGAAAAAATTCATTCACAACTTGTAATATACAGGAAAAAAAAGAAAAAGAAAACCTTGAGCAGAAACCAAACAAGCCATATTGATCACAATTATTCACAAGTTCCAAACTGGCAGTGGAACATCTATATTTTCGATGACACTGGTTCAGCCAAAGGTTACAATTCCATGAATCAAGCGGAAGAACACAGTGCAGAGTGAACCCACAATTTGCAGCAGCAAGGAATACAAGGGGGAGAAAGAAAGTAAAATGAAAAAGCAATCAATCTGACTACAATCCATTTCGTACTGACGTTTATGATACAGTCTTCAGTGATCGGTGTGGACTACTAGGAGCTGGTTTTACACCTGCGTGCTCATCAGACATCTCCACTGCCCCACGTGAGGTCCCTTGTCTAAAAGCATTAGCAAGCCTGGATTGTTGGTCGACGATCCAAATGGGTACCTAACAAGTATCAAGATTTAATTGAACGTTAAAAATTGCTCAAACAAACAACTAAACTCAAGCAGACAGAAAGGGAAATAGGTTGTTGCTTTCTTTGCTAAGGTACGAGAATCGTAGGAAGTTGAAGCAGTATAGAAACAATTTATTGAAAAGAAACCGGATTGCAATGATCAACTCACTTGCATCTGCGTGCTTTTCTTCTCCATAAAACAAAGCATGTG